TCAAAATTTGAAGTATTAGAATTCCCTCTGAATTATCTACCAGAAAGTAAGTAAAAAATATTATTAGTCAATTATTATATAAAATTTTGGTAGAAACCTATGTCTCAAAGTATATAACTATGTATCCTGACTGAAATAAAAATTTTTTTTTAATGATACCTATTTGAATAAGTGTAGTCTTCTTTATAATCTTATATAAAAAATTGGAAGAAGACTACACTTTTCTAGATAAATATTCAGATATAATATTAACACATATCAAATATATTCTGAATATCTTTTAAAATTTACGTATTATCAACTTTACTAGAATTAGAAAGATTATCTAATAATAATTCATCAGGTGAGATCTTACTATATCTATATTGAGTATTTTTACCATTTTCCCAATAAATTTCTTCCTCTGTTTGATATAAAGGAAACTTGTGAGCGTTCTTGCTATTAAATAAACCAACTAAATAATAATATTTTTGATTTTTATCAATAGCCTTAAATTTCAATCCATAAGTTATGTAAAGGGATGCATTTAATAAATAAAGTTTTGCTCAAATTGTTTTTAATTCTGATTTTTTAACACTATGCGATGCATCTGTATTATCAAATACTCAAACCATTTTGAATACTAAACTCTGAAGATACTATGTCAATTTAGGAGAATCTATATGCGTTTTGACTTCATCAGCTTTATATCATGCTCTATTATCAATATCTCTAGCTAGTATACAAATTCTTAATAATTCTAGGCAAATTCGATGCCTTTCAGTCTGGGTTGCAATTATGAGCCTATTTTCTCTGTAATCTTTATAGAATATAGCCTCAATGGCCATTTTATTGTTAGTATTAGTATCTCATAATTGCTTATAAACTATAAACCATTTCATGTGATTATAATTCCTATACTTTGAGATAAAATTCTTGGTCAATGATTCAGACGAAATTTTATAACAATCCATAATATAATGCCAGTTTAAAGAGTGTATCTCTTCTAAAGTCTTCTTTAGTTTATTCTCTAATAATTTAGCAGTCTCACGATTGACAATAGTAGCATTAGATACATTTGTTATCTTCTCTGCTTTAATGGTAGAGGAACTCGCCTTCACTGTTTAGAATAATGACATTATAGTATCTTTAGGTTCAGGAATGAGTTTTATGATAGAAATTACCATACCCGCATTTCAGAAAAAATCAACCATTTTTCAGCCAAATAAATAATGAGATCAAAATTTTTCTAATATATATGCTATCCATAAATGAATAGTTGATACTTTCTTATTCTAAATAAATGAGTTGATATCTGAAAATATTCCTCTATTCTGAAGTTCTTAGGAAAGACATTCACGTTTAGTATTCAACAACTATCGAAATAGCTCTTCTTCTGTAATGAGAATATTAGACAATCTTTGCTTAATATAACATATATAATCTTTAATGCACTGTATGCGGAATAACATCTGATTCATTCTGGCATTTATTTCTATATAGCTATTAAAGAGACAAAATACTCGCTCAAAATTAGGATTAGTACAAGATACTCCTATTTTTAGAGTGCTAGTATAAGCAATTAGATCTATGGCTTTTTATACTTCTTCAATGTTACTGAAATCATGAGCCTTTTCTACTAGATCAGATTTACTATGATATTTCTTAATCTGTAGTTCTAGAAAATTGGTTTTAAGAGCATGAACAATCCCTTGCACATCCTTTCTAAAATAGCAGATAAGTAAAGCATTTTTCTGATTCTCAAAAGGTAGTAAAGACATTTGCTTGGCCTAATTCCAAAGTTCAGCTAATACAGTTTCTTTATTAAGTGCCAAGCGGAATATCTTACCTTTTTGTGATTAATAAGTATTATGGATAATTGAAAATACTCTATTCTTGTAAAGGACCCTAATCCATTCAATGTTGAGGTCAGTTAAATTATTGTCTATTACAATAATACGTCTCGCATCTTAGATTAATTTATATAATTTTTTTATTGATTATTCTGCTAAATGACTTCATGCTTGAGTAATTATAACACTATTTCATTAAACCATAAGTCATATTAGATTGAAAGACATTTGCATTTTTTATTGCATTTATAATTATTGGTAATACAATATAAGTTTTCTATCTAGCATACTATCTTCTTATGATCAGGCAAATTTATATTACCATCGATATTGCAATATAACTTAAGATTAAGCTTTATAGTAATAGCATTTGAGTAAGAGTGACGCGTGGATAATACTAGCAAATTTATATTATTAAAGATAACCAAATTTTCAAGAATATAGGTTTTTTCCGTTTTCTAAGGTGACTCACTTAATAATCACCTTTGTTGGGTAATTGTCTTACATACCTCTCCTCATATATTTCTGTCACTATAAGAGGATCATTATATTTGATCTAAAATGGAAATTTTATGAAGGCTTTAGGAAAACTAGAGGTTTTTACCTTGTAAGATAATTAAGAAGAATTTTTATTTTCTTTTTGAATTTTTTCTACAATAGATAAATCACATTCAAAAACTTTCCTGCATTTGCTGAAAGCATTTTATGATAAACATCTCACTGCTAGCATATATATGACTGAACTACTACTAATCTTTGTTATGTATGCATTTACATTATGAACATTCTAGTGGAGCTTTTTAATTAAAATATACAAAGTTTTCTGAGTCTTTTTCTTTAATAGTCCAATTCCTAAAATAGTTAGAATGTCTCTGCAAAATAAGATCTATGCATTTTTGTAATATATCATGATCTATGATTATTCTTAGTGGATTGTTATTTTTTTTGTACTAAATAATCAGTGTTTTATTTCAAACCCTAAGCTAGTAGGTGGATGCACTCTAGTATGATTGAGGTCATTCCACCCATTATCTAGTGAGAATTAAAGAATGCGTTTTACACAACCTTTTTTTTTGCTGAATTGATAAGATAAAGGTTAAAATTCTGATAAGATAATCCTCAATCAATATACTTACCAATTTCTTCTCAGTTAAGGTATATACTAATTCTGTGAATACTTTGAGTTTATAATGATTGATAAGGAAAGCCAGTACATATAAAACGTAGTAGCTATATTTGCTAAGATCTGAAGACGTAACAATTACTAACTTATTGAGAATATTTTTTCAACTACAGTTAAGAATACAATACAAGGCTCTTATGAAAGATAGGCAGATTTAAATGAATACTTCTTGTATCTTAACACCAGTTGTTTTCATATCTTCCTGTAAAACATCTATATCGATTATAGCTCTTAAAGACTTTTAACTATTAATGCATTCGTGAATCTCTGGTAAACTATATACTTCTGAAATGTCATCTACAATGGAAAACTTCAGGGCACAATTATTATTTTGATCGATTTTGATAACTAATTTATTTTATACTTCATTTTGATCATAAGCATTATATAAACTAGATCTTTTTTTATTTGAAAAGAAAAATGAATAGATTAGAAGATATTCTAATGACTCCTTTTTATCTGATATATCTCTAGGTGGTGATAAAAAAATTTCTCGAATGGTATTTAGCAAATCCTTAGAAGAAAAATTATCATTAAACTTTTCCTGTCTTAAAGTATATGTCACATTAATCTTTTGTTTTTTTACATTTAGTGGTTGAATCAATAGAGTTTTGATAGTACTAGTTGAAGTATAAAGAGCTTTTTCATTATCTAACTCATAATTAGACTCATAATTATTATAATCATCTGATCCTAAGTCAGATCTATTATCAGTACAACTGTTTAAGTCACTTAAATATTCATTGGGTAAGCGCTGTCATAGTAAGCAGTTTCAGTACGATCAGTTTAATCAGAAATAGCTGTGGTATATATGTTGACAGTAGGTAAAGTTATTATATCATAATATAATTCTGAAATATTTAATTAATTTTTTCATCCTCTAAAAAAAGAAACGTATAGCAAGCTAATAAGCAAATCATAAATAAAAGGCAAGCAGATATATCTAAAAAAGTGTAATCTTTTTCGTAATCTATTATATAAAAATTGGAAGACGACTATACTTTCTTAGGTGTGTACTTAAATGTATATATATATATTGGATACTTAGGGAAACAGAACTGTATTGCTAGTATTATCACATTGTACTTCTAATTTTTTAACCAATTGAAACATCAGACTGAAGCCTAAATATCTTTCAAAAGTAATGAGAAAGTTATGTGAAAGTGGCAAGAAAGTTGTGAAAAAATGCCAGAAACTAAAGGCATAGTAAAATTAACAAAAATTTTAACCAGCACTATTCTTCATCATAATTTTAGCCAGAACTTTGGATATAATAATTTAGCATCTAAGCTGGTATATAAGTGGTCTGAAACTGGCGAATTAATAAAATTACACTAGCTTTTTGCTAGTTTCACACCAGTTCCATGATAGTTCTAGAAGAGTTTCAGGCATCACCAGGTCACTATCATGGTGCCTTCTCAAATCATGTATTCAAAAGATCAGCCAGAAATTATGCTATAATGCTGATTAAATTTAGATGCAGATTTATATCAAAATTACTGTGCCACCTGACGTGATATTTTTTTACTACATTTTAACATCTAGAAAGGCAATCAAATAGGCACAAAAGGTAAGCACTTTAATATAAAATCTAGCACTCAATCAGATGCAGGGGGTCAGTATTCTTAACATAAAATTAGATATTTAAACAGCTACAGAAAACCAACAACTCCATTATAAAATTTAGTATTTAAACGACTTAGAAACAAGAAGAAAAGCGTGGTATTTAGATTATATAGTGATAGTTAGATTATATGGTAGGTGGTAATTAGATTATATGGTAGTAAAAAATACAAATAGTAAGAACGATTTAAAATGATAACTAGAGTATAAAAAAGATACCTAATACGCGAAAATAAATAGATTATATGATGATAATTAGATTATATTATTTAGATCATATGGTAGTACTTAGATTATATAGTAGTATTTAGATCATATGGTGGTATCCCATTACCTTAAAGTTGTATTTATTCAAATATAAAATGTATAAAAGTGAATAATAAATTAATATAAATTTTGAGTTATTAATCCTTTTATTAATACTAAAAAAGTAAAAGAAAATTGCTAGATTAATAATCTGTAAGGATTCATATTTTTGAAATTTTTTTTATTAATTTAAGTAATATTATGTATTAACAATAGTTTCTTTCATTTTTGTCTAAAAATATGTTATTCCTATATATAATTAAAACCTTTTATCATTACATTTACAATAAGTATAAAGTTACGAAAGATGATAGATAAATTGATAAATATCTTTTTTTGAGAACTTTTAATATTAGTAGCATTTTTAGCATCCATTAATATTTCCTTTATTTGAGAACTGATGTTTCATAAGATATATATGTATTATCAATATTATTGTTAAATAAAATGCAGTAGAATGGGAAAGTGATGATATTTTTAATCAGTTTGAGTTATTTAAAATTATGAAAAAAAAGTGGATTTTATTATATTTTTGATGAATTGGTAAAAGGGATAACAATTGGTAATTATTAAATTAGTAAAAATAATGATTTATGTATTAAAGATTGATTTGAAGGGTAAAGAAATCATGACAGCTTTAGCTAGTTTGTTAACTTTATCATTAAAGAGATTGTCTGAATAGACTTTATTTTATGAAGTGTTATATTCAATTGTTATAAGATAATAATATCAAAGTAGCAGAACTACAAGTAAGAATTATTAATTTTTAACAAAGGATATATTGAAAATAAATCTTTAAAAGCAATCTAAATTTGTTGTATTGTTAAATTATCACTTGAGAATTTGTGTGAATAATTATATAACAATTAGGTGAAGCAATTAATAATACTGTAAATATGGTAGCCAGCTTAACTGTTGAGAAAGAAGAATAGAAAATGACAAATGCAATTGAATAAGAAACCATTGGAAAATTTAGGTGTGCTTGTAGCCAAGCTAAACCCATTCTTATTGAAGAGAAACCTAAATTGGATAACAATCTATTGGTAAAAAATTCTAAATTAGAGATTAAGGAAAATTGTTGTGAATAAGTATGATATAGGAACAAATTTATTTATAATACTAAAAGGTGTAGGATGGTAAAAGGGTTCAAAATTGAAGGACGGTTCACAGGCATGTACAAGGTGAAAGCAATTTCTTGAAGAAATGATAATGTTCACACAAATAGACAAACTCTTATTTGTGATATAAGCTAATGGCAAACCAGCAAAGTCAATAGGCAGCTGCTACCATTAAGAAGGTTTCCTCTAGCAAAAAGAGAACATGCTCTTGATGTTCAGTCTATTAACTCGTCAGTGATATCAGCAACATCAAACAACCTTATGAGTGGTGGTAATGGTGGCGGCGGCGGCGGTGGTGGTAGTGGTGATGGTGGCGGCGGCGGAGGTAGTGGTGGTGATGGTGATGATGGCGGTGGTGGTAGTCGTGTTATCAACATTTTGTCAGTCAACTCTGGAAAAATATATTGTAAAGGTGAGTACCAGAAGGAGACGTTCAGTAATTTTAATCAACGACGCAAGGTGTCTGCAAAGTTTCTTAGTTGCTTGGTGTGCAGATACATAGGAAAAGAACTTAAGGAGTGGGTTACAATATGATTTTTATTACAAAGCAAATGGGAGTTACGAACATAGTAAATCATATGATCCGTTACGTGATTTTAATAGCTTACCTCCCAAATGTATTACAACTGTATTACTAAGCAAAAAATTTTAATCGGTAATTTTTTTAATTCCTGTATAAAATTTTGTTCAAAAAATATGAAATTCATTGCTTTTGTATTGTTATCATGCCAAAAAAATTCAAAGGAGAAAACACTAAAGGTATTTAATTATTTAATTAATAATTAAAAGATAATTACAACCTTTTTAAACAAATTTTCCTTAATAGTTACCGCGGCAAAGGAACGAAAAACTTTGCATCAAAAAGAGATTAACGCTAAAAAACAAGCCGTAAAAGATCAGAAGGAAGCTGAAGAATGGTCACTTGGTGCAAAAGATGCTTCTAAAAAAGAAGCTCAAAGGCTAAAAAAAGTAAGGCGAATGATCTTTCTAATTCTGCATTATTCTAAAGATAGTAACCTAATTCGAATTATAGGAAGCTCAATTGGCAAAGAAAAACGAAGCAGCTCAATTATTGGAGCAGGAAGAGAAGGAATTATCAAAATTCAAACCTTTATTAAAGCCAACAAAGAAATCGGGAGAAGATGTATGTTAAATTATTTTTTATGATCTAAATTTTTTGTACATATATATATATATATTTATTATTTATGTGTTTAATTTTTAGAAAAAAGCAACCAAAAGGTCTCAGAAAGTTGAACAAGAATCCACAGAACGAAAGGAAATTCCTGTATACTCTGCATCAAATATAGATGATGCTTTGGATTTACTGGCTATTGCCACAGAAACTTCAAGTTCCTCAGGTGGCGGTAAAACGGGATTATCTAATAGCGTACCAATAAGTGCTGCCAACATTGAAAGGCATCCGGAAAGAAGGTTTAAGGTGCGTAGAAGATATTGGTTACGGTCAATAGAAGTCATCCTTATTTATGATATATTATTATAGGCTGCTTTTCGAGCGTATGAGGAACGAGAGTTGGCAAAACTTAAAGAAGAAAATCCTGGATTGCGATATACTCAATTACATAATATTCTTTTCGAGAATTTTAAAGTGAGTTGATTTTATTTTATTTATTTCTTTAAAAAAAAAATTTTAAATGAAAAAAACTAATTTTCCGTGAACTCTACAAAGAAATCACCAGAGAATCCTTTCAATCAAGCCAATGTTTTGCGACATAATGCTACCAAGGAAGAATCCGATAAGATGATTGAGGCAGCAAGACAGGATATAGAAAACCGGTTAAGAGTTTAGAATTCTATTGTGAATATTTGTGCGAATTTCATATAAATAGGTATTTAATGTTTTAATTTATTTTCATATCTGTTGTTGAGATCAATTTGGGATGTAAAAATAATTTATTCTTGTTTTTAAAATTTTGGATTATATTTAGTTTCTAATATCAGATGACTTCTTTTAATTTGCGAAGGAATAATTAATTCTTAAAATTTTGGAACTTTGCAAATATAATCCGAAATTTTACAATGCTATGTTAATGATCTTTTTACCTGAATTATAGACAAAGCAATTACTTGTCAGATCTCTCAAGTGCGATGTGCACTTTATATGCACGTATATAGAAAAATCAGTAAATACAAAATCGACAAAATTGTAGATTATTATATATACATTAAATACAAGATGAATTAATAATCAATAAATTTGAAATTCATCAACATTGAATTCACGAATATTGGCCCGATCAGATTTATTTCAATTTTATTTTTCAAAAACTTTATCCAAATAATTACCCACATTTAAATATGACGTTTACATAATTTTATGAACTATTCCATTATATAAGTTTATGTTTGTTCTTATCATTGATATCAATATCTAATATCTGTAGTCATAGTAACCACTTGTAATCTGTTCTATGTAGTATTCCCAATCAAAGCACCAAGAAATGCTGGTATACTATTATTACAATAAAAAGATTTATTAAAATACTTTTCTAAACCGTTATCGTTTCAAGAGTTGAAAATTGATTGTGTTTAGATTTCATGGTTTTATAAATAGGAAATTATCAAGGATAGTTTTTGTCTATAAGAAACATTATAAAAAGTGAAAATAATGAAAATAATGGAACTTTCTCGAAATAACCCGAGAAACTTATTTTCCAAATTCAAGGCAAATAGCAAAGTCTGCACAAGTAACAAGCAAAAGCTCACTCCAAAACTATTCTATGAGCTCCCCCCTCCAAAATATAACTTACCTTGTCAGTCTTCATGACAGTTTTCAGGAAAAAAATAAATAAGAATAAAACTTACAAATATACTTACTCCGGTTACACTGACATCACAAAATAATGGTGTGCACATATCAAACATTACAGACTTCATTTCTCCATAGTATCCGGGTATTTTGTAATCTAGTGAAAAAAAGGTGTAGTCACTCCCATGATATCGGTAATAAAGCATTTTAAATATTACAATCAAAAGCTGTCAAAAAATCTTTTTTTGACAGGTTTTTTTGAAAAATTCCCGTTGACACGTAACACCATATTAATTTAAAAATGAGGGTTTCCAAACAATAAAAAATTTTCCTTAATCGGGTTTGACAAAAATATAATTAAATATTAATAAATATACATCCATCCATTTAAGCAAAATTATACAAATCAGTTTTGGGGGAGAGAGGAAAAAAAAAAATTTTTACGCCATTATTAGTAACAACCAATAGTACATCAATTAATTTCCTTTGCTATAATATATATAATTGTTTTGCTGACCCATTAATTCAAACCAATCAAGGAGTTTTTTTTCTTTCGTTCCGTAATCACCTGCAATAAAAAAAAAATATCAACCCTTGAGTGACAACATTAGAACATCAAATGTCATCATTCGCATATAAACAATATTATATCATTAAAACAAGGTTTTTTTTTTTTTTTTCCTACACAAAAAAAATTATGCATTATTACGAATGTTTAGAATCTTACCTAGCATTTATGCTACAAAATAAGGTTTCATGTACATGTGAATGGTTTACGATGTACGTTGACGTCGTATAATAACGGATAGAAATTTTTAGATTATATGTAACGTAAGGATTTTCCTGTATCATCGTTTTTTTTTATTTTCCCCCCTCTTCTCATAAAACCTGAAAAATTGTTTGAACGTTTTGTTTCTTATTATCTCTCAGAGGATCAACAAATTGCGTAAATTGATTAGTTGATTAGAAGAAATGTGCTATCCTTTTTTCTCAAATCAAGAGACAAAAGGAAAAAAAAATCGTATTGTAAGGGGTGGTTTTTTCCCAAAATTACGGAACAATCAAAAAAAAATACCACATTATTGTTCATTCATTTTATCATCTTAAAATAGTAAATTTCCAATGGGAACATAATGAATCGACTTCTGTCAAATTTGGCATTAAACCGAATTTGGTAATTTGTGGGGAAATTTGAGGGAGGACAAATGGCATGTTTAAGAAAATAAATTGAAAACTAATGAAATCTTTTTTTTTTAAAATAAACATAACAAGTTTTTTTTTTTTGGTCAATATATTAGATTAAGAATTGAATACAAAGAATGAAAAACTCAAAATGGTTTAAATTAAAAAAATATTTACAATACAAGTGCTTGTCTTTGAGACCTCCATGTTTTGTATGTGAACGTGCGTGAGAACCATATCATATGAGTGCAAATAATCGAAAAAGGATGACCTATCAAACAAAAACGTTCAAAAATCATTATCCAATGTCATGATAATTACGTTTCAGGTTTGTTTACATTCACACAAGGAAGGCTTATGGAAGGAACTCGAGGAAGATAAATTTCATAAGCAAACAAGTGAACCGGTAAACGTTTCATTGGGCGAAAAAAAAAAAATTCCCATCCACAGCATTAATTAATATCTCGAAAATTTCGGTTAATAAGCATCAATTGAAAAAAAAAAGATCTTACCAAACAATTAATATTGCCATAATCGATACATATTTGATCAGGGTTCCCGAGAAATCCCCATCAAGAAATTGATTAATAATAATAATGATAAAAAAAAAGAGTATCTTTTTTGATGCATGTTTGTTTGTTTGTTTCAATGTGAAATATTGTGTGCTGTGCTATGTACACGTTAGTTTCCGAGATAATCGAAAACCACGTCATATATTAAATCTCCAGATATCGGGTGCTAAGCCACTTAGAGTTTTTTCCGCGCCGCCTTATAAACATGGGTTAGAAGGCTGGGTAGGTCATAAGTTTTTAAAAGAGGGACCTCACTTTAAGGTTAAGTGAGTCGTGACGTGATAATGCTTTAAACTGTACCGCGTGAAGTTGATTGTACAGATGAGCTTTTATCACCCACCCGATCACATCGCACACTCGTAAAATTGAATAGTGACATATTCATTTAATGTACCTTTTTTGTCACGGGCTGAGATGCTGCAAAAGGGATGAGTCATCTTGTAACCTGAGAATATAAAGGTCTTCAAATGCAGGGATGGAATGAGAGAGAAATATATATCTACACACATATTCTTTATAATGATAATGATAATGATAATGATAAACAACGCGTTCTATATCTGATATGTAATCCGACATTGACTGCAGCTTTTTTTACCACATATTATTCTTTCCTTTTGTTCCCTTTATTTAGTTTATCATTCATTTTAATCTTTTTAATCTTTTTTTTTTTTTTTTTAATTTACCCCGAGAAGATTTATTAAAAAAGAAAAAAAAATCCACAAGGTAAAGCATCCCTATCTAAATAGCCGTTTGACTGATAAATAGATAACGTGAGATTTCCTAAATTAAGATTTATTTTCTAAATGATTAATGATTATTATCATTACGAGTAAATATCATATTATTTCTTGCATTGTTAGTGCGTTTAATATTTACAAATTGTGTTCAATTTTGAAAAAGGAACAATAATCAATCCCATCAGTTCTTTTAACTTCATGATTACTATTGTTCTTCATTTTTTTAAACTAAACAAGTTTAGCTTCAAAGGTACAACATCTTTTTTTGATAGTAAAAGGTTTTAAGAAAAACAAAGGATTATTTTCATTTATATTGTCCAAAAAAATTTTTTTCCTTTAAAGTAAAAATCCAAAGTACACGTGTTTATGTTCCATCACTAAAATAGGTGTGATAATTTGCATTGTGATGGGGGTTTAGGAATTTTTTTAAAAAACAATAACATTACAAGTGTTCTTTGTTTTAAAAATAAAATTAGGTTTTCATTCAAAAAAAAAACTCAGCCATAATAGTTATATAAACTGCGGTTCAATAAAAAAAAACTAGTAACTAAACAAGTTATTAGACAAGGATTGAAAATTCCTTGATTGTGTTAATTACATGTATTGAGGTCAGCAACTCCGACCTTATTAACGTTGTGGCTGATACCCCCCCCCCCCCCCCCCTTATTATAGAAATTTTGCCCATTATTCCCTTTTGAAAAAAAAAAAAAGAAAAATAAGAATGCACAATGATTCTTTTGGACGTATGATCGTCTTGAATTTTCATCATGTGAACATATACGCAAGGCATAAACACATGAAATTTCAACCATTTTGAATTGAAAATTGGAATTTCGCAACAAAAAAAAAAAAAAGAACAAAGGATTTGAATCATCGTTTGCATCATTTGGAAAAAAACTGGATTGGTTTATATTACCCAATGAAAATAAAAAGGTGCGCGGTCTGGTCGGCCGTTATGCATATCAGCGATTCCCGAAATTTTTTCTTCTTTTGATTAAATTGGAAAATCATGATGTAATTGTGAATCTATGATGACACAAAATCGGATTTGCCATATGTGCCATTGTTCTTTCCACTCATGTTCACCGGACGTGAAGAAGTTACAAAGATGGCTTTGGAATTCAGTTTTTCACTCATCAGACATTCACGCTTTTGGTCATTCATACGGAATTACGAGGACCTTTGCGAAAGGATCTAAGATGAGTCCGAAAAGTTCCATGGTCAAATTTGGTGATCTTTCAAATTGCCTGATATCCCAGAAAGGGGTAACGAAATCCGATTATGGTGTGTTCTTTGGATTCCCTTCGAAACCTGATGAATTTGTAGGTATCTTCCTTTCACATGTCACCTGTTTTTGGTATATTAAATTAAAAGGAAAATCATTATGTAATCGCTGCGGTAATCACCGTCTTTTGCTGTGCTTTCTTCCCGTTAGTTGTTTTATTTGTGACACAAGAAATGGTTTTTTTTTCACGCCCAACTCGATGCAATATTATTTGTTATTTATTGTTATTGTTGGATGTCTAATTCGATTTTGATGTTTGGCGGCATTTCTTTCCCGCTTTTTATCATTCCCAAAAATGAAAAAAATTTTTTTTTTTGTTTACAATTTTTGATCTGATTATTTTTTAAATATTAAGGTTAATGAGAATGAGTAAAAACTTCTAGAATTTGAACTGTTTGGCGGAAATTTAACTAGGGCATACATATATAAGCGGCGCAGTTGGCTGAAAATACTGGCTTCGGACGTTACCGTGAATGGTAAATCATTCTCAATAACATTCGTAAGGAACTTTAACTGAGAAAAAATTACCGTCAAAAGGTGGGTTGAGTCACTCTTACAAGATTAATTGTATCAAATTTTTTAATTTTTTTTATTTATTTTATTTTATGGAAATTTTTTTTTAATTTATTAAGGAAACAAACACTCATTTAACGCAAAAATATACCAAATTAACTAAGAAAAAAATTTTATATATATAAAAAAAATCTGTACATTTTTTTTTTTCTTTTTTTTTAAAAAAAAGGGGGGTTTTGTATGTACTATAATTGAAAAAAAAATATAAAAAAAAATAAACAAGAAGAAAAATATATTGAAAAATAAATTTACATGTCTATTCCGAAGTAAAAAATGCATGAGATGTAAGAAATGTTATTCACAGGGGAAAGAAATTGAAATTGAAATTGAAATTGAAATAATAATAATAAAAATAAAAATAATAAAAATAATAATACTAAACTAAAGAAAGAAAAGATGAATTATTCCCAGTATGTTATTAAATGTTGATAGTTCTTATAGCGTATATATTTTATCTGTAAATATAATTAAAGGGTATAAAAAAGGGCATTATAAATTTTTTTTTTTTTTTTTCAGTAAATCGATTGGGAAATGAAAGCGTAAGTTATAAAAATGAGTGGTTTTTGATTATTAGGAAGGGGAAAGAAATATATAATCATGTCATAAATTTTTTTTTTTTTTTTTTTTTTTTTTTTAAAAAATATATATTATTATTTAAATTTTTTTTTTGTTTTTTCAAGAAAATCTCTCCATATTATAAGCTGCACGTCAAAAACGCTTAATCTTTTGATCTGTGTTGGGAAATTTGTAAGCCAAATTTGGTTGGAAAATTACATTAAAAGAATACAAGTTTTTTTAATTTGTAACTTTACCTTAAATGATAAAGAATACGTAGAGATGTTAATTTTTTTTAAAAGCGGTGATACGAGAAAATCAATCGAAATAATGAAAAGATAAATTATCGAACGTCTCGGCGAAAAGACGGAGGAAAACAAAAAAGTATATGTGACAAAACTGAATGATAAAAAATCACGATATATAATTTTTTTTATCGATATAATATTACAAATACGCGATAAATATATTGACGATATAAATAAATCTATCTAGGAATCGGCGTAAACAACGAATTTTCTAGATGACAACGCCAAAAGGCGCAAAGAGGAAGGAAGGAGAGGACAATAGATAACGTGTTGAATTGTTTTTAAAATTAATAACCATTCTTGGTCATGTACTGGTGAGGATGATAATGATGATTCGCCGAACCCATTATGGAGACGATTTGTTGATTATAATCGTTATAATCTTCAAAATCGGTAAATTCGATTCCGTCTTCCGAGATGTTGTGTGGCTGAGGTTCAAAAACTGTATAATCATTCATTGATTGTTGCGAATATGTGAAATGTGGTGGTGGTGGTGGTGGTGGTGGCATGGATGAATTGTCATAATTATCCGATGGTGAATTCATTTCCGAGTTTGCGTAATAAATCGGTTGATTTGATATCGTTGATACTGGAGGACTTGCATTATATCCATTATCACCCCCTTCGCTAGATATTGAAGAAACCCGTCTTGGGATGTATTCGGGATTTTCGGACATGGACGTCGTTAGGTGATGAGGTAAAACCGGGGTGGATGACCTTCGGCTGGCTGAATCACGTGTATTAACGCGGCGTTTCCTCTCCTGTGGTCTTCTTGGACGATATCGGTATTCTGGGTATTTCTTCATGTGCTCTTCTTTAGCTGCTTCGGCCATCTTTTGGAATTTAAGACGAACTTCCATCGGCTCGCTGTGCCACAACTTGCCAATCTCTTTGGAAACCTCGTTATTTGTGATGCCTTGATGCTGTGCAACGATGGTCGGTTGCTTCGCTCGTCTGTAAAGGATGAATGCGTTTGGTGGTCTCGGTGGTTTCTTCACTTTAGGAATTTTCCCATTGGGGGTGGATTCTTTCTTGGATGGCCCGGAAACGCCGCAAGGTAAGGCAAAAGATGGTAGACGGACGTCAGTATCTGGAAGCATTCGTGAGACATTTGGAGCCGTGGAAACGGGTTTTGAGGTTTCCAATAGATTCGTCACGGTTTGAGCTTTAGAATCATTAGGAACTAGAACGGGTTCGAATCCTTCGGGAATGAAATAAAAATGTCCTTTTCTTTGTTCATAAAGATCTTGAACTCTATCATACGAGACATATTCGAAATGTGGTGTGACGTTATTTGTCTGAGCCGAATTGTTATTGATATTATGATTGTTAATATTCTTTGGGAGAGGAGCCGGTTGTTGGAGAGGTTGCTCAGGAAAGGATTCAAAGGATTCGGATTTACAATGATTTGATTGTTGTAAGTAATTGTTATTTAATGATGTATTTAAATGGGGAGTGGGAAGGTGGTGAAGGGATTGATGATGATGTTGTTGTTGTTGTTGTTGTTGATACATTTGCATTTGTCTAACAGGATAATTTCTTGCTGGAAGGTATTGAGGCTCGGTAGGGCCACCTGGTCGAATAACAACAGTTGACATATTGCTTGATTTTTTCTCGAATGGAAATTTTTTTTTTTTTTATATAAAAAAAAAAAATTTGCTTTTGTTAAACAAAAAAATTTTTTATTTAGATAATGCTAAGGAATAAAGTAATAATGAACTTATTTTTTTTTTTTGAAAAAAGATGGATTTTTTTTTTTTTATAAATTTGAAAAAAATTTTTTTTTTCCACATTTTTTTTTTCAAGACCTTATATAATAATTTTAGTGTACACACATATAAATAATTACAATATAAAATTTTATAGTACCCATACATTTTTATATCTATTAATCATCATGAGTTTATATTATTTACATAAAAAAATAAAATAAATAATTTATATGAAAAAAAAAAAAAAAAAAAAAATGCCCTTTTGCGGAAACGTTGGATACTTACTTTATTGAATATTCATTTCCCATGGGAAGCTTTTTAATTTTCTATGCAACAAAAAAAAAAAAACTGATAACCTAATATTCTAATATTCTCTTATTCATCACTCATTAGGTAAACCAACCTCGAATATTTTTTCCGCCAACTCTATTTATGGGCCCAGGTCCCATTTTCATTTATTTACTCTCCTCGAACAATTAACGATTATTTAAAAATTAAAAAGTCATAAACGAGGAAACCAATAAACTTCTTCATAGAATATATTAACCAGATGCAATCGAGGCTATCGTTAAGCGAAAGCGATCCCATAAACATGAATATTAATTATTATTATATATATATTAAGTTTTTTTATTATTTTTAAAAAAAAGAATTCGTTTAATAAGGCACGAGCATAACAAATAATAGCATACAATGAACATTCTCACTTAATTGTGGTACCGAGGCCATGTATAATGTTCATCATGATAATTAAAGTGATGTTAAAGGTCGTTGTTGAATTCCCTTTTTTTCTTTGAATTTGTTTTTTTTCTTTTGATTTTTTGAAAGGCTTCTCATGTTTTTCCTCGCATTTTGAACACGAAAAAAAAAAGAGCTCGTTTAATGAAAATAATTTCTGGTGATAAAGCAATTTTGCAACGGCGGTTACGATTGCAATTTCGAAATTCGTTTTGGTCTGAATATTCACCTTGTTCTCCCCTTGTTCTTGTTCTCGCCTTCCTTATTCTTAATTAATAATCGCTTTATTTCGCAAATCCTGTCCTACTTTCTTTTTCTTTATGTATGTATTAATTTTATCTCTTGAAAATTAATAACTATACATGCATGCTCATTGGGTCATGCATGAAGTGTTTTTAACCTTCAACTGGTTTTTGGAAAAAAAAAAAAAAAAAAAAAATGATTCAAAAAAATTCAAAATGCACATCCTTAAACAAAATGACGAAATAACTATGTGTGGCTGAGACACCCATGTTTTAAAAAAAAACTGTCAAATGTTCAAATGTTTGTTTGTATTATTATTTCGGTACACCCATACCTAAGATTTTTTGGGGATTTAGGAAAAATGTAATTAAAAACGACACCCCATAGAAATCATATGATCCCGATCGCATGTCAACAGGGCAAATGGCCAGGCCAAAACGTTTTTTTTTTTTTTTTGAGCCTTATTTGTCAACTTGTTTGTTTTGATTTTTAATTTTTTTCTTTTTTTTTAACACGATTAGTTAACGTAAAGAATCACAATTGTTTGGTTACTAAGCTCGTCGATTTTTGAACCCCCCCCTTTTTTTTTGACGTTAAACCTGATTGGTCGGTTGAGATTGCTCAATATAAACCGGGAAAAAGAAAGCGAACATTCGAAATTCGTTTATCCGCGTAAATTCTCGTTTATTATTTATTGTCACTCAGATTTTTTTAATTTTCCTCCGCATCCGTTGCGAGTTTGTATATTCGTGCTCTCTTCCAACCCTGGTAGGAAACATAAACGAATTTTAATTAATGTCCGTTGAAGAAATCAATGTGGTGGTTTATTTTTTTTTTTTTTTAGGCACCACAAAAAAGATGTCAGGTTTATCGAAACGGAATTGGCCTCTTCTCAATATGGTCATTCATTGTATGATACCTTCTATATTTGCTCTTTTTTTTGTTAAAAAAAAAAAAAGATAATTATGAATTATACCAAGATTAGGTAATTTTTTTTTTAATTGAAAATCAAATGCAATTGCTTTTACATCGTGGGCGTATGCATGGGCATAATTACGCATGTACCGTATATACATGTATATAAAAAAAAGGGAAGGTGTTTACAATTGTGATGTTTTAATTCTTTATTGAACGATTAAAAATAAAGTTCCTAAACTAGTTCAATTTTCGCAACTACAAAGAATATCGAAGTTGTTGATATGTGATTTACCACATTCTCATGCTATTTTTTTTTTTAAATGTTCTCATGCCCATATGGCTATCACATCATTTCCAATCAAAAGAAAGAGAAAATTTTCACTCCGTGCATTGGCATCTTACGCCTCCTTTCCTTATCCTCTCAAAGAGAGTTTTCCCGACCATTCATTGATAAGATCAAAAAACATGGAAAGGGATTCGGGGGATAAACTCCAAAAAACGAAAGTATTAATTTTGAACGTTGAAATAAGAATCTTTTAAATTTTTTGATTTGTAGGATAAGGGAAAAATGTTCATTAAAATTGATTTTCCCAATTACGCAAAATGAAAAAAAAAAAAAAATTTCTCAACAAATGAAAATTTGCAATGTCATGATAATCTTGAAAATTTTCCATAAACAACAACAACAAAAAAAAAATTACCTAGTTTAAAATTCTTTGTTTAAAAAAAAAAAAAAAAAAATTTCGACCTCCCCACTTACCAAATTACCTTATCAAATAAAAACTTTATTGAAATGATAAATAAAGATAATAAATAGAGGGAAAAAAAAAAAAAAATCCTTGGCAAATAAGGTATAACCTTTTGATGTCACAGTGTATCTAACTTTGTGAAGATCCTTATATAAATAAATATATTCACCGAGTCATTATGCATATTTTTTTTTGCATTCTTGTAATCATATTGTGTCAAAAAAAAAAAGTTTCCGTACAAAAAAAAAAAAAAACCCTTGAAATCAAAAGTCTTTCCTATCAATTGATCAACAATGCATCTTTTTTTTTTTTTTACATGATAAACGTTATTTCATCAGAAAAAATTTAAATATTATACTTTATCTTAGATCTCGAAATTCTTATTCGTTTGAGATAAAAATGCTTTTCCTTAAAATGTTTTTTACTTTATCAATTAAAAAGAACTAGGTCATTTATGAACGGTTGAGATTTTCAAGTTAACCTATAATGCAATCTAGTGCAATTATGTGCTTAAATGCATTAAAGAAAGTATCAAGTTCTTTAAACAAAGGTGATAAAATCATCCTTGACACGTTTTGAATTTGGGTTGTACGAAAATGGATGGTAACCAATAACTCAATTCATATCAAAAAAAAATATATTCTAGAATCAAAGTTATCTATTGTTTGTCAGACAATAAATCAATTTATGGCTAACAAGAATTCCTCGTTTGAGAAATTACCAGTTGAGAATTTAGCCCTTTATAGAATTATATAATGAATAAAGTTGTAATTTTGAAACGAAAAGCTATACGTTTCGTTAAACTTTTTGCCCTGGAGCTCCTTTGATTCGGGATGCAAATTTTAACGCCGATTTCGTCATCGTGAAACAAGAAATGTTTTGATATTGTCTTTTTGTCTTTTGAAACTTGCATACGCTGACGACATTCTTGGCGAGCCGAATTCTTTATGCGACAGATAAAGCTTATCAGCAGAACAATATCCCGCAGCATTTCCGGAACAATCATTATCTGAATTTTTTTTCTTTTTAAACCCGAGATTATTTTTTATCATACATATCTATGAAAATGAAGATTTCGAATCAATAAAATGATGATGATGATATTTTTTTTTTTGTAGGCTGTAAGCGGACTGATTGCATGCATATTTTTGTCATTAAAAAAAAAAAACATCGTAAACCACCATTATATACATGCCGTACGCCATGCTTTGAGATTTTGTTTTACGTTTCTTTATTTATTTTGCACCCGCCGCGGATTTTTTTTTTTTTTCCTCACTCCAGGGATCCTCCGAGGAATAAATCTTCCGACGTCAATCGAACCTCAATAATCTCGTAAAGGTGCATGTCGGTATTATCTGTATACCGATAAAGCCATGACACGTACATGCCTTTCTTGCGAACGCAGATAATATTGCGCCACACGAATAAACTGGTACAAAAAAAAAAAAAATTATTTCGATCAGGATTTCTCCCATCTTCTTTTTTTTTTATTTTTATTTTTTTTTGGACGTTCGTTTATTTTGTTTAATAATCATGGTTGCTTTGTGGTTGGGTTTATCACGTGGTCAGATAATCAAACATCTAACATCTTGACATCACCTGATAATTGCCATAGATTAAGATTTTCTCCGGACCTTAGAAACAAAAGGAATATGACGCAAAAAATGCAACGCTCAAGATAAACACACCAAAAAACAAAACAAAAATAATAAGGCACGAAATAGTCTCAAACATGGTCCTATGAAAAAAGCTTGTGAAAAAAATAAAAATTTCCTTCTTGTTGCCTATTTGAAGATCCATTAAGGGTCACTTCCATTATACCCTGATGATTTTTAAAAAAAAAACAAACATTTGGGCTTATGAATAACCCAAATTCGTACATCATTCATCCCCCTGTTTGGGTCGATCATTCATTCCATCATTCGATATTTAGACATTGTAAAGAATCAAATTTTCCTCCACATTATTCAAAAGCGTTTCTCTTACCCCACACAAATTTCGTGTGGGTGAACTTTAATAAAAACAATTATCCTAAATTGTGAATTAAAATACTTAAAGTATAAGGGCATGAACAATGGAATGTCTAAATCCGGTTGGGCGGTTATGCGGGATGAAATAACTCGTGTCACGATGAACGGCCGTGATTTGACGCCACAGGAGGAAAAGGGTGTGGTTGGTGAAACGCATACGCCATCACGATTCCATTGTCGGAATGATTCATTTTTCTACGTGCAATTCATATGTTATCAGCCACACCAAAGAACAATGGGCATTCCGCAGTTGCTTATGTTCGGCATGCAAGTGATGGTTATTTGTGCAAAACAAAATCGATAAAATGTTTTTGTTGGGATGACTTTTCTTTTTTAAAAATTCCCAATAATGATAGAATAGTGTAAAAATGGGCTCGGGCTTAGGTCACACGGAAATCAGCTTAATTCTTGAAAACTTGTATTGACCATTTGTATGTAACAGAGAACGCCTATCAAACAGGTTAACGAATAATATGACTTATTATTCCATAAACCTTTTGCCTTCTTTTGATATTAGTAATTAATAATGAGCGGCAAAATCATTTAAAAGTGTTACACAGTTTAATATCACATTCACTCCTAAAAATAACGTAAGAATAATATCATCGACATTTCTCTTATTTTATCACACCATACGTTTGATCTAATTAGGGAAATTAATTAAAAAGGAATTATAATAGCATATATGTCCTGCCTTGTATGCATTTAAATTATTATTATTACTAAAATGATGTTTATATAAAATGTCGCAAATTCAACCTTATGATGGCAACAATAGTTGTATTTTATTCCTTTGTCTTTGAAAGGGTGCTTTCGAGAAATCTTATTTTCTTTTTTTTCTTAACTTGATTAAGTTGATTGAATCGGCAATCCTTCAATGAACAATAGGATTTTTTATTAAAGTTGCCATGACTATTGAAAGAGGGAAGATTGTGATAAAGTATTAAAAAGGAATTGAAAAGAAATCTTCAAACTGATCAACTTGAACTGCACGTAAAATTGAGTGATGTGTTGTTGTATTGAGGGCGTTTCAATGATTCCTTAACTATCTTGGAAATATTTTCATTGACATAAAAAAAAAACCCGTTTTTACATGGTCAAATGGAGAACAATACGTGTAAATTCACAATCAAACAAAGAGAACAAAATAGATAAACACGAGAAAAAAGAAGGTTTCTTTCGCTGCAAAATGATGACTCACATTAAAACCGGCTTTCACTTTCTTTTTTTATTTGTAAATGAAGTGTAAGCACGCGAAACGTAACCTTTACTTCTTTTTTTATTTATGCAATGAATGACATGCCTCTTTCAGTTTAACATTTTTGATCCGTTTTGGTGACGGGCGTTTCGATATAATAACACGCACTTGAACCTTTGTTGAACGTTGGATTTGCTAATCCGTCGTGTATGATTTTATAATGCCATTGGCGTTGTAAACTTTTAAGGGAATAATGTAAACTCGAGGTTAAAGTGAGACGATACTAAAAATGGTGAACAAGATGTGAGAAAAAAAAAGAAATTAGTTCAAAAAAATAAATGAACTAGGGAAAAAAAAGATGAGAAAAATAAACAAAAACGCATTTAATATCTGATTGCATTTCGCAAACCCTGTCAAAAAGAAACGCGTGATCCCTTCTTCATTATCTATACATCGTTGTACAAATACACATGTCAAATCCGGTAAAATCCCCCTATGCAACGCATCTCTGAAAAAAAAAAAAAAAGGTTCTAGCTATTGACTTTATGTCGATCCAGTTCATTTCATCAATCAATCACTTGAACGTGTAGTGTATTCAACCATCGTGTAACGAAAACGCAATGGTTGGTCTAACTCAAGTCTCGTAATGAAAGTTCAGATGGAAGGAGATACTCTAATTCTGGAAAACAAGTATAATGAAATGAACATCACTTGAAAATAAACCAGGGGTGACGAAGGGTCACCTTTTGACTTTATCGCATCGCTTTTCCGTTGCTGCGGATTTTTATCACGGCCAATCAATTCAAAGTGACAATTGTGCAAAAAAAAAAAAAAGGAATTAACAAACAAACAAAAGTCATTAATACCAAACTCGGATAAGCTGAGAGATAGACATGTTTTGCATCTATTCAATTTATTCTTAATTGTTCTTTGGTCTTTAATTAATTACCAAATTCTGATAGGAGCTTATATTGTTCTTTATCCATTATGGCCACACCTTATTTTTCTGTATAATCAATCGGCTATTTTTTTTTTTACCATTATTCTGGTGAACGTTAATTGGAGAATAGGAATGTTTTTTATTTTCAAGTTGAACCCATTACAGCAAAATTCTCATTCAAATGATGTTTGTCCTCAAATTCCCATTAACCTGTCCATTCAGCACAAAAAAAAAAAAAAAGATATTATTTCCGACAATAGATATTTCGAATTTTTTTTTTTGTTTTCACGGTCCTTGCGTGAACATCATTTCATGTATAGAAGTTTCTGGTTTTTTGTCTGAATCTCGGATTAAGGTATGACCGAAATAAATATTTATTTATTTATTTATTCAAACAAAAATGTTAGGACTCATAAATGTTGATTTCACAAGAATAAATTTCAATAGACCCATGACATGTTCCCAATTAAAAAATATAACTTAATTATTGACTTGTAATCTCTACAATAAAAGAGTCCTGTAAGTTGTAATATCTATTTGTTTACGTTCTTTTGTAATTCATTCCTAATCGAAGTTTGTATCACGCACCCCACATTCTATTCAAATTGACAAGTTTAACACCAAATTCCATAAATGGACCACTATAACTTTAAATATATATATATGTATTCAACAATACTCTCTATTGTCCCTTCTTAAAGTGGTTTACTTATAGTAATTTATTGTGGAGGTCTATTTACCTCATAAACATTTGTGTAATAATTATTATTATTATTATTATTCTGAGTAAATAAAATAAAGAACGCCCTTGAGAAAAAGTGTAACGTGATGAGATTTAAAAAATGGGCATTAAAATGATTTATTTTTATAATCTTCATCTCCCGTTTCTATTTTGTTCACACCCAAGTCAATAGAATCTATTTTACTTATTAGGTATCCTTTAAACCATAGATTAATAAAGCTAATTTAGTCCGTTAGAATATGATCAAAAATTAAACATTTTGCGGAGTACATTACATTACATGATGATTAAACTTACTTTTTGACAGCTAATCTTACCATGAATTAAATTGGCAAATGATTTCGCAATTTTAATCCTGGCATAATGTTTTAATAATTTGTAACTCCTGATTTATTAAGGTAAGGATAATTAGGATCATTCATTTGATTATTATAATTAATTTACTTGTTTACTTATTATTTATCGTTAAAAAAGAGGGGACCTAGTTTTTTTTTTTTTTTCTTGATTTAGAACCCCTTGATTGATGAAGTATCACATTTATCACCTATATTCATGCCGCTTATACACATGTGTTTATTTATTCTTCTTTTCTTTTTTATTCGAAAAATAGTTTCGATATCGTCATCTTAATTTAAAGTATATTTCGTGTAACCACCAACCTGCAAGTGTTCGAGGTGTCAAAAAAAAAATAAGGCCTCACCCATTACACCGCGTTAATATCAAGTCCTTCGCGACCCGAAAAGAATGTGATTTTCAAATATAAATTTCTTTGAATGTTTTACTATTATTTCAGAATAAACAAATTATGCAGTACATGAATGATAAGACAATAGCGTTTGAACTGAATAGATATTTCAAGTTGAAAATTGTTTTTTTTTGTAATAAAGGGATAACAATAGAACATAATGCAACCTAGGTTCAAACTGATTTGTCATTGATAAATATTTAGATTTCCAAATTCGTAAAAAGGAATTTTCAGATGAAATATACTTGAACAATAAACTTTTTTCTCAAACATTTAAAATAAAAATTGTTCTTTATATGCAAGGTAATGAAAAATGTTCTCAACTATTAAACAATATAAAAGGATTCTCAACATTGTGATTTTTTGACGTTTTTCACTGTTTGTCCTGAAAATGTCAAAACCCCAGGTTTTAAATTTACCGAAATTGGAAATTTCTTACAAGTTTGGACAATTAAGAAGATTTTTACCAACCCTTTGACAAAAACAATAAATAAAATTATTCGATTTACAATGAGAAACCTTATCGGGATTTTGTAACTCGGTAATTTATGAAATTCAGATCAAATGTAAACTTTTTTATACTAATTTGATTAATGTTATTGTTCAAAGTAACCTTGTGCGTCATAATAAATTGCATTCATTCATGTTTCATTAACTATGGTTAACCTTTTATTTTTTTTTCGGCCCGTTAAAATGAAAAAAAAACTTTTATTAAAAATTTATTTTAATATTTAATACCCTGAATATCAAAGTTTTAATAGATTTGATAATTGATTATTTAAAATAACCCAAAATAGATTATGTAACATCAATTTATAAGTTATATACTACCATAGTTAACCAAATAAAATTAAAAAAATTCTAAAATATAACATCTTCTTAGACCTTAAATTTTAAATGATTTAATTAATATAATTTTAACTATTTATTTGATTTTTAGTTAAATTTTAATATTAATTGATGATATTATTTGTAATTATTAATATATTTTATTTATATAAAATACTGTTTTAATTGTTTAATTAAATAAAAGTAATTAAAAATTCTGTAATTTGTAAATATATATAAATATATATATATATATAAAAACTTTTTTTAATTTTTAATATATGATTATAATATTAATATAAAATAACATTTAAAATTCTTTAAAATAAAGAATTATTAAATTTTTGAAATATCTTTTTTAGTCTAAAAATATATATATATATATATATTATTTTAAATTAGTTAATTTATTATTATATATAAGATTTAGATTTATTAAAATTAAATATTAATGTATTTAACTTTTATAATAAATTTTTAAAAAAAAATTATAACTTTGATATAAAAATATTTTATTATAAAATTATAAATCTAAAAAATATATTTAAAAAATATATTTATATTATTAAATTATATTTATAACATCATCAATAATATTAACTAATATTTTCAATATGCTTTCTTAATGTGATCAAAAATGAATCGCATATATAGATGCTTACTGAAACCTTCTCAAAATAATTTTGTCATACCCTTTTCTATGTTTTTAATATAGTTTTAATAATTTCAACTTTTGTTGTATTGAAAGGATTTTATCATATTCCTTATTATATTTTAATATAGTTTCATCTAAGTTTTGATTATTATTAAGGAGTTTTGTCTCTCATCATTAGTTGCATATAAATTTTGTATGATCAAAAATTATAAAATTAATTATAATGTCTTTATATCAAATAAGCATAATCAACTAGAACTAAAATCAAAGTAAAAGATTATTTTTATTTTACTTAAAATAATTATTATAAGTAATTTATAAATGTTTTTTATTTAAAGCAAATTTTTCAAAGTGTATAGTAACTAAAAATAATATAATTATATTATTTCTGATCAGTTTAGATTATGTCAGGTCAGTATGATTGGCTGATAATAAAACTTAAGTCATTTGAGTGATGAGTTGATTACAAAACTTAAGTTATTTGAGTGATGAATTTATTGTAAAACTCAAGTCATTAATTAATCGCTTATATATATTTTATATATTAACTTAATATTTTTAATTAATTTTCTTTAAAAGGGAATGATAAGTTAAGTTATGACGCTTAACATATGTCCCTCTTATATTGAATTCTAATTCTTTTAAAAACCTAATTTTAATAATGATATTTGTAATCATAGTTAATTTCTGTTATTGGATCACGTGTAAATGATCAAATATTAGGTTAGCCTTATTGTACGTTTAATAACCTGATTGCATTTTACATATCAATTTTGAAGACAAATAGTAAGAATATATGCTATCTAAATACTATTTACATATTAATTAACCTTGAAATTTAAAAATATTAATTATCAATATTAACTATTATCTTTTTAAGCTGAATTTATTATTTTGAAGTAATATAATTACAATAAAATTAAAGATTTAGATAGATGATTTTTTGTTTAATACATTTGGATATATCATTATTAAATAATATAATTATCTATTTTTAAAAAATAAAATATCATATAAAATAGAATGACTGTTATTTCCTCTTCCCATTGTTGTTTTTCTAAAAAATATTTTACCTAAAAATAAAAAATTTTTTAATATGTAAACTATTAAATTATAATCTTATATGTAAATAATTTTTCTTTTCAGTACTTGAAGTAAAAAACTATTTCAAATTTAATCTTTTATTTTGCAATTTTCTTAAAATTTCTAGAATATGAAATACAAAAACATGCATATAAGAAATTATATCAGTCAGATTAAACATATTTTTTTTTTTGATTAATAGAATTAGCTTTGTCAATAGTAGGTTTACAAAATAATTTAATCCAATTTTTTACGTTAATTTCAAAAGAATTAATATCAGAATCAGTAAATAAACTTTTATGTAAAAATTGATATAAATCTAAAAAATCTCTCCATAAATGTGATATTTTCCTTTCACAATCATCTATAATAAACTTAGTTATATTAAAATATTGTAATATTATCAATTTATCAGGTTCAGTTAATGATGTCCAATCCCAGAATTTCTTTTTAGATTTAAATTTAAAAAACTAAAAATGTGTTAAACCAATTCTCTGCATTTCTTTCTCAATTAAATTTTTGATAAATTTTTTAAAATTATTCAAATCTACCATTAAATCTTTAAATAAACAACTCATTAAAATATCAGTTATTCTCAATATAGTATGCAGTTTGTCAGAAATCCAGTTATCAAATTCAATAAATGGAAAAAGACTTAAATACTCAATACATAAAAGTTAAAAATTATTTAATTATATATTTAATGAAAATACATTAATTAATAAATTTAATAATACCTTTTTACTTTCTGTAATATTGTATTGATAAGTTAAATCACTATGCAAATCTTTTAAATATTTGCAAAATAAACAAAAATATTTGAAATTTGTTACTTTTAATTCTTTGATAAGAGCTATAAATTTCTAATTCCACTAAAATAAAATTCAAAATTTCATGTAATATTATCTTGATCAGTAAATCTGATATCTTTTAAAGAATCTAACTTATCATTGAATTTTGAAGTTGCAATAGAACAACTTTCATAATTTTCTTTGCTTATGTATAATAAAATACTTTGTATATAAAACATTAAAGTTTTAGAATATGATAAATTAGATTACTGATGTTTTCAATATAGTCTGGTCTTACTAATATTGATTTTCAGGTTTTAATACTTCATCTTCTTTATTGAGTAAATATATAGTAAACATAACATGAGAATATTTATTTGTAACAATATGTCTATCTCTACTAAATTTTAATTTAATACTATTATTATAATTTAAAATTAAAAGGGATTTTTTTTCATATTATTATTAAAATATTTAATAAATCTTTAATAGAATAATAAGAACAAAATTCACTTTGATTACTAGTAAAAAAAGAATTTAAATTTGTAAAATTATTATAAAAAGAATTAGTAGATGTATGATTTAATTCTATTCTACAATCATAAATTGAAATAATTATTTTCATATATTCAGAAATTTCATTCTGTATATTACTGATCTGATATTCTCTTTCTAGACTTAGATTAATTGCTACTAAATGTCTATACTTATCTCTTAGTATTAATGCTTTATCATATGTATAAACAATTGTATCTTGACAAATTCTAGTAAAATTTAAATTAACTTGAGATAAATCAATCCCAACTATTTTATCTTTAATTTCAATTTCAATATAGCAGATTTTTGTATTATCAAAATTTTGTCATTGAAAAATACATTATGATCCATTTTCTATATCTTTAATTAACATTTTTATATGTTTATTTTATTATAAATGTGATGTAAGCATAGAAAAGAATTTTTGCAGTTTACAGATACTAAAATATTTTTTCTTGCTTTAATTAAACAAGAAATATTAAATTCAAAAAGAATAGTTTCAGAAATATGAGTATTTTTATTTAATATCTAAATTATTAAAAAAAAAAATCAAAATCAAAATTTATAAATTTAATTATACAATTTAATAAAAGCAAATAATTAACATTTACTGTTAAAAAATTTTTGCCAACATGCAGAATTATTATTTGATATATACTGATTAATACCTTGTAAATTTTT